GCGTGCGTGCGTGTGTGTGTGTATATATTTTGATGTGTTGTTAAATAAATAGAATTTACAATAACATATTAGCCTTTCGACAATATATTTTATTCCAATCCTAAGAAATTTTAAATCGACGAAAATCGTAATAAACAATAATATAAATTAATATTATCCATTTTTATTTATTTATTATTTTTACTATTAATATAAGATGCAATGATTATAGTATTTTTTTTTTATTCTATTAGTTATACATATATATATACATAGAGCTATGTATATGCGAGAACACAAATGAAAATGTATTCTATACAAAATGTATCTACTAAAAAAAAAACATTTAATTTAAAATATCAGAATAAGAAATTGGAAATTGCAAATTTTAATTCTACTTCTTTTTATTTGCCATCTTCTGAGTGACCGAGTCTTCGTTGCTTTCTCACAAATTATTTTTAAAAACAAAATTTCATGTTTAATATTATCAAATATTTTTTAAGAAATACGATTCTTCCATAAACTCATTCTTTGCTTGTTTTTATTTGTCTTATTTATCACCTAATTAATTTAATATTTTTTTAATTATTAAAGACATTCTGAATTGCTTTATTATTCTAGATTGTTTTAGTAAGAAATTTTTTATCAATTAATAAAGTTAATTACTTGTGAACTTATTTAAGCATTATATTTCATTTGTTTAATTTTCAAATATTTCATAGGCTTTCTAGCATTTATTTCAAAATTGCATTGATTCGAAATTGGCATTATCGAAATAATAGTTCCAATAGAAATGACAATAATCTATGTAATTATACATGTATGTAAATTACAATAAATTTCAACTTTAATTCTCACTTATTCATACTGTACATCCTTATAAATCTTTTAGTTATAAAATAGCTATATTCGTTCAAAAATTTAACGTAACCAATATAAATTTGCTCATATATATCTGTATCGAGATTTTGAATTTTATGAAAAAAAATTATTGCGTATTTTTCTATCCATAATATGCGTGAAATATATATAGAAAGTAACATACTGTAAGAATATAAAATTGTCTACTCAAATTGTTACTATAACGAATGAAAGTACTTGCGCTAGGTAGTGTAACAACAACTCGATTAATCTTGAAAGTTGGCAGTAAGGGAAATTTTACGTATTAGAATTTTATTATTAGAATCTATTGCTTTTGTATTTAGTTGTTATAAAAAGTGACATAAATGGAACTGTCGAAAGGCATATTTGTAGCTGGAGAAAATAAATTTATATGTTATATATATTTATAGCATTTATGAAACTTATTAATATAATACGAATAAATTTATAAATTTATGTATAAATTTCATTAATTTCATAAAGTATTCCATAATTTGAAAAATAATAAATAATCAAAACTATGCTCGATCATTTAGCGAATTCAATTTTTAAGATACCGTTTGAAATTGAAATGATTGTTCTTCGGGATAATTTTTTTAAATATAATTAAGTGAAATATATATTTTTTTCTACAATATAAATAATAAATATTAATGCAAAAGTGCATTTATTATATGCATGTTCTCAAATAGAAAGATGATGTTTGAACTAAATAATTCTTATATTTATAATATCATAAAATCTTTATTGTACAGAAAATATGGATGAAAAAATTGACATTTGCTTTATTAAGATGAAGATTGTGCATTTTTAGAAATTTTCACTATTGTTTGTTCTGTGACTAGACGATTTCCTTTAGTTTACCATATAGTTGATGACAAACGCGTTCACATACTTTTCTGGATTCTTTGAATTCTGAAATTAAAAAAATAATTATTTTTGCTTAACAATTTTTTGGTTAAAATTATATGAATTTCACGTGTCCAATTGTTTCTATAAAATTTGAATTTTTTAATAAATATCTTTTAAATAATATTTTTTATTAATCTTTCGATATGCTATTTAACATAAATGCTACATTATATACATGCTTACATATTTATTTCATATAATAATATAATGTAAATCATTGTTATAATTATCAATAATAATTAACATTGTTGTTTAAATTATTTAAATTTTTAATAACATTTTAAATAACAATGAAACATTGATAAATGTTAAACAAATTATTTACAATTTTTAGATATACGTTGTTCCTGTAGTTATTCATTAAATGCCTAAAGCCGATGTCTTTGTTACAAACTTTAAAGATATTTAAATTGACAGATAATAAATATTTGTATTAACTACTGTTATTGCTAATATTAGAAAAATTTCCATTTTATTACTATTATTAATTTTACTTTTATTTATTAATTTACATGAGAGTAAAGAATTAAGTTGCAAGGGCAGCGATTACATTGATACCCGTACAAGGTGTTTTACGAATCTTGTCACATTGGCTAAAATATTTGATTAGTATGTAAGGTCTATAAATATTAACATTACATTATACTAAAATTATAATAAACATAAAGCAGGTTTAAATTAAAACATTGTCGTTAAACAAAAAAAGAAAAAATTTTTTTACGGTTACATAACTATGTATTTTTAGTTTATCTAAGTTCTAATAGAATTCTCTAATAAAAAGAGTATAATACTTTCTGACTGGAATCTGTAAAATTTGGAATTTTGTCGCATTCAATGCAATTGGGAACGAGTAGGGGTTTTCATTTTAATTTATCATTTAGTGTTGAAATAATTTTTTTATGTGCCAAGTCGTTAAAAATATAAGTAAAAAGTTACGTGATTTATTAAAAAGTTTTATTATCACAAAAAAATTTCCTTTTACATTTAAAATATGACTAAAGCAAGAATAATTATTTTTTTTTTTACGTTAATCTGTCTAAACTTATTTTGCCTTCGGCTTTGTACAATTACATTTCAAATCATAGTTTAAATAGTTTATTTATTAAAACACAAAAGTTAATGTGTAATTTTTTTGGTTTAAACTACGAAGGTAAAATTTTATTTATCAATGAAAATATAAATTTCAAGAATTCGTGGCTATTATCAATTTCTAAATTAGTTGATATATTTTATCTTGTAGTTTAAATAATATATTATCTGAACTTGCGTTGATAAATACTAGTTTATTAAATTTATAAGAAAATTACAAGCAAATATCGGAAATACTTGTATAAGAAAAATTGATTTGTTTTAGATAAAATATTAAAAAAAAAAAAACAAATAATAAATAATACAAATAATAAGATTCTATAAAAACATATAATTAATATAAATTGTAATTTATATTATCAATTCTAATTGATAGATACAATACGACTATAATATGAACTTTATACTTTGTAATTTCTAAAAATTATGTGGTTGCAAAAAATACTGTATTACATTAAATATCTTAAACTCTGACCATAAAGAATAA